GAATGCCGCGGAGGGAAGGACCTGCGGCAGGGGAAGAGCCGCGGCTCGTCCCCGCCCGTGGGGAAACCCGCTGAGGTGCTGCGGCGGCAGCCCTGGGCCGGGCGTCCCCCGACGGCTGGGAGCAGCAGCCCGGAGTGAAAGCTCTGCCCGCAGAGGTAGAGTTTGGCTCCCCACCGCGTAGTGAGCGGTTTGCCCTCGGGGACTACCCTCGGAGGGCTTTGTGGCATGGTAAGAAATCAGCTTTCTGCTGGCGGTCTGGCTTACCCAAAATTATCCACGTCTGCAGGGCAGCAAATCTGTTGCTTGCTCGCTGAGATTTTTGCAGTGACACTGTAAACTCAAGGAATAAACAAGAGTGTTTTCCTCTCACCCCGCTGTGTCTTGCAGCGGGAGACCTTTTCGCGACTTCTGCCATTGGGAGCCCCGTCGAGCACCTCGTAAATAACAGATGCATTTAGAGGAAACGGTAATTTCAGGGGATGTGTGCATGTGAAACACCGGAGTGCATGCCGTGATATTGTCACTAACAGTTAGTCAGACACCGTGGAGATAAATGGCTTGTAAAACATCTGGGACAGTCATGTCTGGGCTGGATGAACTGACTTTTCAGTGTGGAGCAGCAAATTAAAATGCTTTGGAATGTGCAGTTTTGTGCTTAGATGTCCTTTAAAGTGAGATCTTGCCTAGTAAGGTGTGGATGCATTTACGGGCTTATCAGAAACACTTTTTCTGTTATAGGGTTTTTACCAGCCACAGGCTTCCCCAGTAAGTTATGGGAAAAAAAAAAAAAGAAAAAAAAAAAAGTGTTCCAGGAGTGAAGTTCAGGGTGAAGTTAAAGTCCTTAGATATTTTCCAAGAAAGCTGTGGATGTACAAAGCCCTTTGTACAATTCTTACATATCTTGTTGTAAAGTGTTAAAACAGCATCAGAATTGGGCAGATAATGATTATTCTGTGTGTGCCAGGCAGAACTGGTGTTATGGAGGTGTAGGCTGTGGATGGAGCAGCCTTGCACTGCTGATGTTACGCTGCTGTGAAATCATAAGCATGCTAGAATGTGTGAAGTAACTGAGGTCTAGGTATACAGTATAGCAGTATAGGGCTCTTTAATTCCCTATTCACTGAAGCAGGTGCTTAAAACAGAGCTTTCTTTTTAAGCACCATTTGGGGAAATATAATGAATGGAGAGAAATAAATGTGTCAGTGCTGGAGGAAACCACAGTGTGGGGAAAGATGCTTGTCAAGTGTGTGTGTCAAGTTTCCTGATGCTGAGAGCGTTACAGCATGCTTACAGCAGGAAAAGACAAGTGTTCACCCCAGCACCACTCTTCACACCATGCTGACAGGGAAGAGAGCTTACTTTCAGCCTGGTCTGAAAGCTGGTCAGCTTCGCTGAGCTGAGATATTTGATCTTTCACAATTCTTGCAGCTTGCAAATGACTGAACAGAAGCAGCCCTCTTCTTTCTCCACATTGTGCTCTGTGGGGTCCCTCCTTCCATCTCACCTCTTCATTTGTCCTCTGACTCCTGCCACTCAAGTGGGACCCTCCAGCTTCCACTTGTGCCTTTCTGACCATGAACACTGACTGCAGGACTCACCTGGCAGATTCCTTTGGCCCTGCTGCTCATGGCATCTTTCAGGTTACCACAATATTTTAAGAGTTCTCCACCATGTGGAGGGTGCACCAGATGAGGTCTGAAGATCAGTCAGGTCTTTATTTGTCCTGGGGACTCACTGGAGATCCCCTGGCAGAACAGCAGGACTTGTGTGCAGCAGCACACTGTCCAGTACATTTTTTAGAAATGTTTTTGCTTGGTTGGTTTCCAGTTTTTAACTACTCCTGTGTCACACCTGCTGTGATGCCGTCCTTGGCTCTAAGCCCTCACCTTTTCTACTTTTCAGAGGCTGCTGCTGTTTGGGCTCCCACCTGAGTGGTCAGCCTTCACTGAACTCTCTGCCTGGGAGTGGGCTTTCAAGCAGATACAGGACTCTTGCTTAAAACTCTCCCAGAGCTGGGACAGAAATTGCCCCACCATCTGTCCTGTGGGAAGCAGGACAGAGGCTGGCCCCAGGGGTTAGGTTGCTGCTGGTTGGGGGGTTGCACTGAGCTCTCAGATGCCTTAGGAGGAAGAGGCACACTCCGCCATTCAACTTCTTGTACCAGGGACTGTGTGTTCAGTCCCTGGAGCCCTGTGAAATGGTTGAAGTCTTGGAGCCACAAAAAAATGATGATGAAGAATATGATAACAAAAGTTAAGTGCTTGTCTGCAATTAGTTTGATTAATAGTTCAAGCTTCCTTATAGGCCCAGGTAAGCCTGCTGCAGAGTTCATGTTGTAGGCTCAGGTTTACTGTAAGGTTCACAAATGCAGGTCTGTGCTTAAATGTATATGCACATAGTCCAAAGGGTGTGCGTAGCAAAGGGAATGCCTATTCCTTTAAACTGGAATTAAACTAAACTATTTTCTGTATGAGTCAACGATCCTAGTCAATAAATTCAGCATATTAGTATTAGAATTACTGTGGTCTGTGTATTACAATGGAGGGAGAACATTTTGTATGGGTTTGCACGTACACATTTGTACATACACAATGGTAAGGTACAGATGCAGATTAAATACATAATTTGCATTTTTGGAAGATTGTGAGAAACATATCCATAGCTTATTTGCTTCAGAATATTGAAATATATAATTTTTGCTTTCCTGCTGGGTTAGAAACCCCTTCCAAATAGTTAATATTACTTCCCTTACATTCCTTTAGAGGCTTACAAAAGACAATTTAATGTATTTTAAAGTAGTTCCCAACACACTCTTTCTTTTATTTTTTTTGCTCAATGTCTTTTATTGGTGTTGTGGGTATCCCTTTGATTCCATCTACAGATTACAGTTTTACGATAGAAGTGAATTCAAAGGCAAAGTCAAGGAAGAATTGGGAGGGCAGCAAGGAAACATTTCAGAAGGAAATCTCTCACCTATATTGAAATTAAGAACAGTGAAACAAATTCATTCCTGATGTGCATCTGGAAAATATTTGGTCCAAATTTTATTGTAAGAAATTTTTTTTCTTGTTCATTTTCCTTCATGCTAATATACTTCACAATGGTCATGAAGTAAGTCTTGCTCTGTTGCTCTGGAAATTATTATATTTCTCTGCCATAATCAGTAGGACAGAGCTATGCATGGTATAATTCTGAAGCGTGGGGTTGTACTGAACATGACTCACCCCAGCAGCACATCTGGAGGTTTATGCCTGTGATGGCATCCAACCAGAGAGATGATGGGAGAAGATTCATTGTGTGTGAAAAGATTTGGCCTGTTTGGCGTTTTCATTTCTTATAATAGAAAACACTTCCAACCCAGAAGAGCTGAATGCGGTTTTGATTCATTTTTATTGTTGGGTTGAAAATATTTGCGTACATTATTGTAGCTTTTGAGTCCTGCCATGTGTGACGGCGTTCTTGGAAACGTGCATGCGGTTGGTTTTGAATCGCTGTCCTAACAGGCTCTGTTAGGCTCTGCCTCTGCTGTAGGATGCAGTCCCAAAACACACACTTGTAAAGTACTTTGCTCCTCCCTCTGATATTAGGATCTCTGTACCTGTAGTCCTGTGAAACTGTGTAAAATCTTGTAGTATACCTCGCTCTCTCTGTGTGGGAGCTCTCTCCCCATTGTTGAAACCTCACCTTTTGCAAAAGGAAGGAGTAGTAAGAGCAGTAGTCCCCCTGCCCAGCAGATCTGGGGGGAGACCTACTGACCATTGTCATCACAGTGGGGGTCACAGTGCCCACACAGGGCTTGTAGGTCTCATTGTGGCAGCAGAGCCTCTGCTTAGCTACTGGCCCATGCTAAATGGGGCTCTGTAGTGTTTGTACCCACCTTTAATCTTCATGCTTATAAAATGGTGCTCGGTTTTTCCATTTATTAACATTAGGCATCCCATCACAAGTTGTTGCCTAGGATTGTTGTATGGTCTCTGAAGAGGGGGTCGCGTTCTGGAAAGATTCATACCACTGTCCCTGCTGCACAGGTGCTGCTCTCTTAAGTACAGAGAGACAGCAAAATCTAGGCCAGATACCTAAATATTGGGTAGCTGAGGTGTAGGCAAGTTCAGTGTACATCAAACTGTTCAATGGAATAGAAATTGAAATGGTAAGTTCATGGTATCTCCAGCTTTGTCTTATGTCCACTTAGAAATAACAAAAGAAGCTTGCGATTGTGGTCTAGTCTACAAATACATGCAGCTAAAGAAATTTGGAGCCAGAACTTACTGCATTTTGCAAGGGTAAAAAATCAGATCACACACAGGCTCTATTTAATTACCTTCAGAGGAGACAAGGAAAGAGGAAGCCTCTCTGTGTTCAATACCTGTCTTGTCAGCTCTTTGGGAAATCAGCTTTGTTTGCAATCTGTGTTTTCATGTTTGTTGCAAAACTGGGAGGACAGCTGGGGTCACTGTCTCTGGCAGCATTCTTGCTTCACAGGCTGTTCTCTGAAGTTTTTGAGCTGCTTCTTATCTATGTTTCTCATTCTCTTCCAGTTGTAATCATGTGTGCCAGTGGTGACACTATCAGGAACATCATGTTGGCTGCTCATCGGCAAGGAATGACCAACGGGGACTATGCTTTCTTCAATATTGAACTCTTCAACAGCTCATCATATGGTAATGTTTTTCTTGCCCAAGTGTGTTGCAAAGTCTTTTGTAAGCTTAGTAGTATTTTTAGATTTGTTAGCCTCAAAACACGCAGCACTGAGTCCCAGAAAACACCACCGTCTCTCCCTGTTGTTGCAGTTTTCTTCCACTTGGGCTATGGTATTGCAGGAAATAAAACAGACCTTGTGGCTGTAGTTGCTACTGGGTGGGTCACAAGATGCCAAATATGCTACAGTGATTACTTATTTAGTTCCTTTTTGGGGAAGTAGTGCCAGACAGAGATGCTGGTTATGGTGTGGGTATCCTATTCTGCAGTGTGGGTGCTCAGGTCTAGGTGACTTACACCATCCCCAGCCTTGTGACAGCAGCTCCCAGGGCAGGGGCATTCCTGGCAGCCTGATGACCTGTGAGCTGAGCAGATGGCTGCAAGGAGTAATTAGCAACAGCCAGCATTGTGGGCAGTTGCAAGGTTTGTGTCTCCATAAATCCTGTCTGTGCTGGGACATCTACAGTTTAATTGTAGATTAATTTATTACGTCTAATTTATTTAGCTTTTGATCAGAGACTCACTGTCTGCAAAAATTTTCAGCCATGCTGTGTTAAAGGGGAAGCACTGGATGGGACATGGGCAGTCCAAAGTTTCTAGAGCAGACTATACCTGCTCTCAGCTGGTGCAGCTGTCTCACTTAAATTCAAAGCAATATCAGAGAAATGTGCTTGCTGAGATCAAACATCAGATGGCTGAAACTGGGGCAGGTTTTGGTGAAGTATAACATGGCTCTTAAAAGGAGCAGGTTCTTTTGCAGATGTAGAGAAAATAATTTCCTCCATGCAGACTGCTTTAACTAATCCACAACAATAACAAATTAATTTTAAATTAAAAACCAAGTGAAAGTTGAGAAAAAAGGCAAAGTGTGGAGGTTTACTTTCTTTAAGCTGTAAAGGTTGACCAACAGAAACAGTTGAATTTGAAAATTTCACTGTAAACAGTGTTGTGTAACACTTTGTATAATGAAGGTATATAACTATATAAATTCAGAGATTTAGATATGTACAGAAGTATAGCTTCTGCTACATAAATCAAGATTAGCTAAAGGATGCCAAATTTTGCCAAGTAAGAAGGAAATCACTCAAATATCCAAAACATGAAGTTGAAGATCAAGACCAAAGCCAATGTGGGAGACTCATTACCACCTTTCTTTTTTATCAGAGGTAGCCCAGTCTTCTTGTAGCTTTTCTGAGAGATTAATGAAAAATGTTCGATTTCTGGTGTAGTGTAGTTAGAATGTATAATTTCCTGACATTTGTTTTAAATCTGTTTTTCTGCTTGTGGATGTGTTTCCCATGTAGAGTGAAATGACTGTGCATCAGAAGCTGACTTTTGTGCAGATAGCCATTGCATGTGAAAAACAAACACAGGAGAAATGTAGAGAAATTCCCCCAAAAATCATTGTTCCCAGTGCCTTAGATTTTGTACTTCATAAAACCTAAGAGTGGGTGTGACTGGGCAATTGGCACTGCCTCCGTGTTCAAATGACTTTATTGCAGTTTGCTGTTGCCCTCTGTTCTGAATATTTCTAATTTTTCAGAAGAACAGGCTTATTAAATGCCAAGATTGCAATAATTGTACACAAGTATTGTAACAAGATGACCTCCTGCAAAATAATCCATGAAGGAATTTAAATATTTAAATTATTCTAGGAACGCTGTTGTGCAAGTGAACCTACCCCAGTCGCAGTGTCTGGATTTAAAGAAGGAACATGTATAGTGTCAAAGATAGAAAGTTATATTCTACTTGCACTACCTCTTTTTCTTTGATTTCTTTTTTTTATGTCTAGAATATTCTGTTTTTTAACTATTTCCATTTGCAAATGCAAAGCTGGGGCAGAAACAGTTCAGCTTAGAGGCTTCTGCAAGGCTTCTACTCTCTTTTGGGGAAGGTAGCAAGATGTGCTTGCTTACAACTGCCAGATGTGCATTTCTTTCTCTTTGAAAGCAACAAAGAGGATGGGTGCAGGCAATGGAGGGAAGAGTGGAAAAACCAGACAGTGGGATATTAGCTGCTATCCAGTGTCTCCATTTGGTGTGATGAATAGGGTTCTGTGTAAGTGATTTTGACCTTGTATTGGGAAATAAATCCTTCAATGAAGGCATATGCATCTGGAGCTCCTTCCTAAAAAAATTAAATCACTTTAAAAAAAATAGCAAAGCTTATGGTATGTCTAAAGTTTACAGTCCTAGGTGGTGCTGGGCTTGGTAAATAAGGCTTTCCTGGGGTCAACAAGAGAGGTAAACAAGGTGCTCCTGTGTCTCCTGTCCTGTGCAGGAGCTGTCAGGAGCTTCCCTGGACCCAAAAGCTTCAGGAAAAAGGGCTTATTCCCCAGAGAAGTGTAGGGCCTTTTCTCCTTCCCTTGTGCTTTCTGAGGAGGCAGAGTAAGTCTCCAGTTAAGTCCCACTAACAGTGCTGGGATAACAAAAACACTCTCTATTTACCTGCTTCAGGTCCAAGAGTTTGTTCTTGCAGCTGCGTGATGCAGCTGGGAAGCACTGTGCAAGGAGAACCATGGGTTTTTTTTTACCTGTACTCCCATCTCTACAACTTGCTTCTCTTGGTCCGAATGACACTGTGGTCCTCAACCCAAGCAAAATAACTACATCATCTCTGATTTCAGGTTCCTGTGTGCCTTCAGGTCACCTTGGGAATTTAGCTTTAGTTTTGTCTTGGCTCATTTAGCTGTAATGGGGTTTGTTGCTGTTGTTCAAAAAATAAAGACTGTTTAGGTTTTAATTACTTGTAAGCATTTAAAGGCTCACTGCTTCGGGCTACCAGTGTTCCCTCTAGCCTTTTTTAGTTATCATTTACATCAAATAGCACAAAACCTGCTCCAGAACAATATGAACCTTTCTACTGACCTCCTGAAGCTTTGGATCAGGATCTCAGGGCCTGCTAAGGCCAGGGTCTGTTTGTCAGAAGGACTTCTTTGCTAATAAACAACCAGTCAGCTACCTTGCTTTTTAAAAATGTGGTTTCTTTACTGGTGGCCTGAGTTAAATTGTTCTCCTGCTGTGACACAAAATACATGTAAATACAGCGTAGGCACAGGATTCCATTTTATTTCTATGTATTCCTTTCCCATTAAAAGCAGGGCTAGTCTGCCAGCCATGGCACATGTGGTTTTGTCCTTGACTGCAGTGGGAGAGCCTCCCATTCAGGGTGATGATCATGCTCTTGGGACTGGTGCCTTTCTGACTGTCCAAGAGGAGTGATGTGTAACAAAAGCTTTGTACTTGAATCTTCTCTCACTTCTTCTAACTTAAATATCTCTGCATTTGAGATCTGGTATATGTGTTTGGCTCCAAGATGCCATCTCACACTTAGGATTTGTTCCACTCTTTAAAAATAAGCAAACACAGCATGGAAGAAAGTTGTCCTTTGGTTTGCATATTTATTTCTTAGCTATTCCGTGCTGCCTGGTTTCCTGCACACCTTGAAGAAAGGTCTGTTTTCCTTTGTACTTTACTATCTCTCCAAATCAGATCAGAGAAGGCGACTTTGGGGTGGAAAAAGGAATCCCGTAATGGTACCTAGTTTGGAAATATGCTTGTTTCCCTCTTTAGGAAATGGCTCTTGGAGAAGAGGAGACAAACATGACCTTGAAGCCAAGAAAGCATATTCATACCTCCAGACTGTCACTCTTCTGAGGACTGTGAAGCCTGAGTTTGAGAATTTTTCCCTGGAGGTGAAGAGTTCTGTTCAGAAGCAAGGTCTTCATGAAGATGACTATGTAAGTACTTGAAGATAGTCTTCAGATCATAGTTTCTTCAAAAACATGCTCCTAATTAATGCAGAAGTGGTAGTAAGACCTTATCAGGACAGAATCAGTTGCAAAACTATGCTGTTGCACATATATTTTTTTTTGGGGGGGGCGGAATGTATAATGCAAATTACAAGGATAGACTTGGTCTAGGTGCACTGTATCTGTGCACCAGCATCCATGACCAATTGTCCTGTGCTCATCTCCTAGTTCATCAGCAGAAAGGTTGGGCAAAGGCAAGTCACTCTCACCCTACCACTGATATGTCTTCTTAACAGAAGAAGACATATCTTATCCTTCCTTTTTGTTTTCTCCCAATAATTATTTTTTTTTTTTTTAGAATCCAATCTCAGAAAGTTACACTATCTGTATTGCATGCAATGAAGTCTTTCCTGTGTGAATGAGAAAAGTAGTCTTATTTCTCAATGAGGCACATTTAAGTAGTTGCTGTTTTTTATTTTGAACGGTCTAAAATATCAACAGAGTCCTTGCCAGTTGCTTTGAGCCTTGGGAACACCACTATCTTTCACAGGTGGACATGGGAAACTATGCCTTTTTTTAACCTCTCAAAATGTATGAGGAAAATAACTGAAAAAAAGAAAAAAAGGCATCTGCTTTTGAGCTACTGCTAAGTTAGTTATTTAGGCATTTTCATAGAAAAGTCGTCTGTGGAAGCAAGAATGTATAGCATGTACCTGCAGGGATTTTTGCATGCTGATACAAGTACTTCCCAGGCAGTCAGCCTTCTCCAGCCTTCTTAGCTGTAAAAAATGAGAGGCTGAAACTCAAGAAAGCAGCCTAAACCCTTAATTTTCCAGTTTCCACTTAGGTTTCCATCCCATGCCTTTGCTTTAAGCATTGTGTCCATTTTTAGTTCATCAGTTTGGGCTTGAATATTGTGTTAAAGAATGAATAACCTTTCCTGTGGTTCATTGTGTAACTGGCTACCTTTAGACAATTCATTCCTCTTAGAACTTGAATGTATTTTATTGAAACATTTTATCTAAATTTTAAAATTTGAATCACAACAAGTGGTATATATTATTCCTGTGATACTTTCAAAATCTAATCATAGTGTTTTGTTGGCATGTTGAAGAAATGTCACTTCACAATTTCAAGGTGCTACAGTCCGAAGAACCTGCTAAATGAGTGCTGAAGAAGGCCATGGGACTTTAATGTGTACTTTTCCTCCCTTTTCTCTTTGTGTCCTTTTGCAGATGTCACTTAGCAAGCTATGTCCTTTGAAAACCTGCTATGTGTCTTTGGTTGTGGTTGGTGAAAAATGTGATTTTAAATACTTAAGTATTTTATATATGTATTTATATAATGCTTCAGTACTGTGGCTTTTTTTTCCAGTCTGGGCAGTGTGATATTGCCCTAGCTAAGAAAAGCCTTATACTGCTGAGAGCCCAGGGTGCTGTCTGTGGGCAGTTTAGAGGCAGGCAAGAGGATGCTTTTCTCTTCTTTAGGGTGGCGATCCACTGCAAACCCTGTGAAGTGTTGATTGAGGCTGCATAGACACAAGTCCTGTTCTGGTCAGCCAGAATTGCATCTAGGAGAGAGCAAATTCCTCATGTGCCGTCATGGGGGAGATTTTGAAGGCTAATGTGTTTGCTGGGGAGATTCCCTCGCAGCTGCACACCCAATGCCTGAAGTCCCGTGCTGTCGTTCTTCACCCCGTGGCTGCTGTGTGTGCTGTCAGTGCTTGTCAGTCCTGGGGCAGCAATGGGGGCTGGCTCACTGCCATCTCATCTTTGATGATCTTCTGCCTGGCTCTGAGAGCTGCCTCTCCCTGTGCCCCATTTCCATCTGTGATCCAGAGTCCCTCAGATTGTTCCAAGCACTCCTTCACACAAAATCTTGAGTCTTTGCTAGGGCCAGGCTATCTGCATATGCCCCCTCCTGCTGCTGTTTCTCCTACTCCTCTTCTTGTTTTTCCTTTCCCACTGGGCTTTCTTTTTTGCTTCCCAATCTGTTCTTGCAGGGACATAGAGAACATCTTGTGATCTGTGTGCACCTACTGCAGGTTCCTGCCATCTGAAGCATCAGCCCTTGGCTCACAGGCTCCTCTATGGTGGAGGCCATTGGGATCTGGAGCTGTCTGTAGAGGAGATGCAGGTCATGGCTATGGGGGAGGGAGGTTTGGTTTCAAATGCAGAGTATCCTGGTATTAGATGGAATACCTTAACAAAAGCAGACCTCAGCAGTGCCTCCCCTTCCTGCTTTTTCACAGCCTTCTAACAATGGTAAAATAAAACATCTCTATGAGAATTAGTTTCTGGTTGAGTATAGCAAAAAAAAGCATAGCTGTGTTTCTTCATTAACAGTGTGTGAAGTTTAACTTTCTGATTTTTTTTGCATTGTTTATGATGAATTATTCATTTCCCCACTTTGGATAGCGGGAAAGAGATGCATCATATTTCCTTAACTGATTGTCCTGCTGCCCTAGTCAGAGGAGAAACATTTTGGTGCAGTCTTCAGGATTAAGAAAAAAAAAACATTCTGAAAGCTAATGGGGAAAAATAAAGTCAGATTGAAGGCAAATTCCTTCCCCTCTAAAAAATTTCTGGGTAGTGGGTACCCATTAAGTGTGCTTTCTTTGGCAGCATGGGTAAAAAGTGGCCTGGGTATGCATTAGGCAAAGCTGTGTCCTCCAAGGAAAGACAGGGAAGGAGAAATCCTGGAGCTGATTTGGTGGGAAGTGGCAGAGATGGATTTTGCTCTGCTGAATTCTGCTTCTGTAAACAAAAACTATGTAGAAAGATAGTCAATAGTACAGCCCATCTCAAGTCATATCCATGGGTGTTGAAATATAGTCCTCATTCTTTTCTGCAAGCTGTGTCCCAAGAGGAGACGCTTAGGGAGGTTTGGATTTGAAGCATTCAGTGTGTCTGCTTTTCTGTGTGGATTTTTCCAATGTCATGGGAAAACAGGGCCCCAGGCCCATGGTCTAAATTATCTCACAGTGACCCTAACTCAGCAAAAGTCATTAGTGCTGCCATTTTGTCCTGGCCTCTTGCCAGCACTAATCCTAAAGGCATTATTATCTACCAAAAAAGAGTATCATAAAAATGGAAAATAAGCAGATGACATAAGGAAAGATAAGGGAGACAGAAAGGGCAAAGTCCTAAAGCAGCAGCTGTCCCACTGCCAGATGCAGAACACATACAGCCCTTGGAGGAGTAACAGGTCAAAGAGTATTGGCTGTCTTCATCTCCAGCTGTGAAATCACACAGAAAAGAGAAAAACGTGTTTTGGGTATGTCTTTCCCAGCTCAGAAGTTTCTGTTGTTTCTGCATGGGTGTTATGCTTTGGAAATGGGGAGGGTGGAGGAACCTGTACCTTGTGAGTGAGCAGGAAAGAGTGGGAAAGACAATTTCTCCAGGAATCTCTCTTGTGAAGTAAAAAGCTTCCTTAAGCTCCTTTTAACTAGACAGCATTGAAAATTAGAGTGGCAGAGAGGTTCTGAGATAGCATCTTAGAAATATTTAGGTTGCACAGCATGGGGCAGTGGTGATGTTCCCTGTCTGCAACGTCCCAGTGCAAAGTCCCATTGCTGCAGCTGCCCAAGTCCATTAGCAAATATTGTTAGTTTGTTTTGTTCACCAGTCTGAGTGTGAAAGCAGTTACTGTCATGTTAATGTGACACAAAGAACTGTGGGGTGAAGCAATAAATCTGCTCAGCCATCATTTTAGCATTCGAGTGTCTCATGCTTTTTCAGGAAACATGGTGTAGTTTTGTAGAAAGCCTACCTCTCTTTTACTGTGCCTACCTGAAGATCGACTTCTCCAATAAAATAAGCAAAAAAGGAGGATTTTTTTCAGAAATCTAAGCAGATTTGGGTTTCAGGCATGCAGTAGAATCACTTTAACGTTTTCATACAAATGGTGGCAGTTTTCTTACTTTCATAATGTTAATGCATTAACAAGGCATTAACAGCAGAGAGTCCTGTGCTCTATAAACCAGCATCCTTGGTTTAATTGCAAAATACAGGCAAGCTCTGCTTGCAGACCTATAGCCTAGTTGAGGCAGACAGCAGTGGGAATTGCATGCAATTACTTGAAGGAAGAATGTAAAACTGTCTCTAAATGGGTGTGTGAATAATTCCCAACACATACTGTAGTTAAAAATGTTTATGAATAAACAGTGTTTCAGTTGAAGTATATGCATAAGCCATTTTTATTAAATAATGCTGAACACTTAATGAATTGGTGGTAGGGTGCAGTTTGGAAGTTCTTAATGCACCTTCTGTTCCTGACTCAGGCATAGGATTCAATAAATGCTTTTTTTATGTCCAACCCAGTATTCTGAGCTTAGATGATTTTACAGCCAGGAATATTTGCTCTTCTGAGGTTACAGACCACCCATAGCTTGTTTTTTCTTCTCATTTAAAAGCTGAAAGTATAACTAATTAAACAAATATTTCTGCTGTGTTAACTACATGACAGCATTGTTCACAAGGTGGATGCATGGGTTTTTCCCTACCCACAGCCTTTTTCACCCTGAAAATGAGTACTGGGAGAAGGGAACTGGAGCTTTGACAGTAAAGTTATCTCAGTGAAAGAATGAGCTATTGAGATTGATTAGATCAGCAAGATGCTACTCCCTATTGGAAGGGGGAACTCTATTTTATTTAACATTTTCAGCCCTCTGAAAGGAGAAATGGTGCACTCAAAAGCAACCATTTTAGTTCCAACAGTTAACTACAAAAGCTTCATGGGAGGTAGCTGTGCTCATAAAGTTTATCATCTCCTTCATAACATCCATGCCAGACTCTTCCCTGAGTGCATTCCTTACGTCAGCCTTTTAATTAGGATTGCACATCAGCTAAGATAAGGCTGGGAGAAGTGAGCAATTCAGTCTTGTAGCTGTGATGCTGAAAATGTAACTTATTCAGCAATGTCCTGCTCACTTGTCTTTTCTCAGGCACAGGCAGGCGAGATTAATGTCAGGCAGTCTTTTGTGTCTT